CTTAAAGCTACAACGGTGTTAGTTAATTCGTCAGGAAACCACATGCAGAGTTTAATCCGCCCGTCTAGAGATGTCCAAGGCGTCTATCACGAAGGCCCGACGTTGCAGGTCGTTGAAGAGATTGGACGAAGATCGAGTTTCCATCTGCAATTGACAGGGTGTCATGGTGCAGCCTGGAACGTGCTTTATGTGAAGTCATTAATGGTGATTTCAACAAATCGTCGCTAGAAGACAAACTAACACGGTTTGGTGACATAATTTAAGCTCAATGTGCCCGCCAGTTCTGCACAATAGAGACGAACATGATGTAGCTGGGACAAGTAAAGCAGTAGGTTAAATGAAACTAAGAAGTGCAGGGCAGACACGAGTGCACTACGCAAAAGGTTCAAAGCCTCCACAGGCAGCGAACAGGAGGTACTGCACGAGGTCTGGCCGCACACGAAGAGAAGACAACATGCCTTCTGTCACGCTAAGCGTTTCTTGCAATGTGCGACAGTACGTCTTTGACTGTCAGCCTCCACCAGAATCGCTCTGTGGCTTATCTCTTCCTAAGTGTTTGTGAACATGTTAGCATATTTCAGGAAGCCTTTGTAAACCTTTTTTATCGCATAGCTTTGATCTTTCCAGAGATCTATTTTCTGTTTTCATTTCACCATACATATAATTCTTTGGACTGCCCCGTTCTCCATGATAAAGACATGTCCAAACCTAGTAGCGGAGGCGTTTTTGCTTAAGTAGAAGGTACATTTTTTGCATTCCTGCTATTCTTAGTACACACAGGTTTGGGATTCAATTTCGCCATTAAGAATAAACTCACAGGGAGCAAGTACAGCGGGGATCTACCAGTCATCAGTAGAAATTATCCTCTGTCGACACACGTTTCGGCCCACGATTCCTAAACGTATTCGGAGGTGGGCCCACCTGAGTTCATGAAGCTCAGGGCTGGTTCCCCGCTGCACAGAATTACCGGATGGTGTTATTATTTCGGCCAGAGACAAGACGACTTAGTGGTTTCGAAGGAGGTACTGTGAGATAAGAAGCCGCCGCGACAGCGTAATTAAAACAGTCCGCATGCCTGGACGACCGAGCGACAAGCTTACTTTGGTTTACCGGACACATGTTGGACTTTTATTAGCAGTTGGCAGAGGGACCTGGCAGACAATTCGTACACGATGGACTTTTCAAAAGGGATGAGAAACTCTATTTCCACTAGATACCCGGACCAGCTCACCGAGGCCCGTCCCCCTACGTTGTTGCGCTGCGTCCAAAGCCAGCTAGAGGCCCTTTCGGCAACCTCTCCCAGTTTTTTTGAGTGTGTCGTTTCCGTTCATTACCGCGCAATCCTAGTTCTTTCACCACATTGTAGAGCGAAGTGGAAACGAGGCCTCTCGCTCCCACTTCGACGGCAAAAACCCGTACTGTGTAAGCCTCGTCTCTCCTCAAACCGGCTGCTAAATCACTGTACTTCTCGAGCTTGTACAAATGATTCTCCTCCATACGCGACTCAAACGGGACCGTCAACTCAATCAGGATGAGCTGCCGTTTTTGCGCAGAATGGAGAACGATGTCCGGTCGCAGGCCGGTTTTACGGATCAACTCGGGATACCGTTCATGTCCTGGCAGATCAACCGCCAGTAACCAGTCCCTCGCAGAGTCTAGCACTAAAATAAATAAAAAGATGGAGCGAATGCGTTTTGGTTTGACCTTACCTTTTGGAACCTGCCCAGCCTTGAGGAAACGAATGGGGGCGATACTAGAACTGGCTCTGGCATTAGCCCTCATTCTAGCCTGGTCGACCAACGGCTGCTAACTCCTTTAGCACCTTGTTGTGGCGCCAGGTATATCGGCCTTGACCTAGAGCTTCCTGCACACGGACAGGACGTGCTCAAGAGTTTTGCTTCGATTTGCACAAACGGGCAAGTCGGATCGTTTGGTCGCAGACCATTTAACCATGTTAACACCGGACGGTAATACATCGTACGCCGAACGAACGATAAAGCTCAGTCGCAGCGGGGTCATCCGCCAGATCTCACCCCATGTGAGTATTCTCGGCAATGCGCTCTCCAGGCTGACCCAATGGCCCTGCTGCGACTGCTGGGCTGCTTTCTGGACCCGAACCTCGTTTTCGTTGTCCCTCACTTGCCGCTGGCCTTTTTCACAACTATTATAACGGGCAGCGAGGAGTCTGCCTGCACGATCCTGGAAAGATTGGACGCGGTGGTCCAATGGAGCGGTATGCAGTTTAAACCGCAGAAGTCGAGGAGTCTGTCAATCCATAAGGGCAAGGTTGCGGCAATCAGTTTTACGGTGGCAAGGAACAAGATCCCTACGGTTCTGGAGGAACCGGTGAAGAGCCTCGGTCGCGTTTACGATTCGAAGTTATCTGACAGAACGGAAGTCCGGCGAATACATGAGTCACTGGCTACAGGCCTGCTCGCGATCGAGCGATGCAGGCTGATCGGAAAATTCAAGGTATGGTGTCTCCAATTCATGTTGATTCCGAAGCTCCTATGGCCACTGCTAGTCTACGAGGTGACGATGACTGCAGTGGAAGCCATGGAAAAGAAAATCAACACAGCCTTAAGAAAGTGGATTGGTGCACCGCCTTGTCTGACCGACGTGGCTCTGTATTGTAAACAGGCTAAGCTGGTACTTCCGTTCAAGTCGATAACCGAAGAGTTTAAAGTCGGCAAAGTAAGGCTCGCCATGCTTCTGCGCGAGTCTTCAGACCCAAATGTCATCGCTGTCCAGCCCGCTCTAAAGACTGGTCAGAAGTGGAGGGTCCTCGATGCGATAGAATCTGCCCAGAACGCACTAAAGTTGAAGGGTTACACACAAACCGACCGTCGAGGCCTAGGGCACGGGAAGGTCAATTGGTGGTCAAAGGCCTCAGCCAAAGAGCGTCGAGACATGGTGATACAAACGGTGAGGGACAACGAAAACGAGGTTCGGGTCCAGAAAGCAGCCCAGCAGTCGCAGCAGGGCCATTGGGTCAGCCTGGAGAGCGCATTGCCGAGAATACTCACATGGGGTGAGATCTGGCGGATAACCCCGCTGCGACTGAGCTTTATCGTTCGTTCGGCGTACGATGTATTACCGTCCGGTGTTAACATGGTTAAATGGTCTGCGACCAACGATCCGACTTGCCCGTTGTGCAAATCGAAGCAAACTCTTGAGCACGTCCTGTCCGCGTGCAGGAAAGCTCTAGGTCAAGGCCGATATACCTGGCGCCATAATGTACCACGAAAGTATTACGTGTGTTAATCACCACTATATTGGAAGAAGCACAGGCAATCGCCTGACAGTTATTGTTTGATTGCTTTCATGGGCGGTGAGTTTCGGGGGAAAGTCCTGACTGTTCGCACAACTGGATCTTGGCGTTGTGCTGGGACCTGAGTTTTGCGAGTACATCCATTTCACTGGTTTATTTGTGTTCAATATTTTGTTCCCTACCTCTTGATAGTGTCACAAGTTCTCTAGTCTCGTCTTCGTTCGTGTGCATCTCTAAGTGTCAGTCATTACATTGCATTTTCATTATCTTACATGATTGTGTCTACATCAGAGATTGTGTACTTTTTTCACCATAAACTGAAATTAATATTTTGCGCTTAATGCTTTAGGGAACACACATTTTTAAAAACGAGCCCGGCTCCCTTTGGATTCGAACCAACGAACTTCAGATCCACAGACAAATGTTTAGCAGTTACACCACAGCCACTCTCTTATGTTCGTTACCGCATACTCGAATACACTTTGAGTCGAGAAAACCTGTCCTGTTGTTTCACTTGTATTTAGGAAACCAAACGTAGAGAAGCCATTATCTTTAATGATGATGCTACATTACTGTGAAAGAGGGAAATCGTGCAGATAATTGCTGAGACTGCTGTTGAGAAAGATTTTCTGATGACGGATTTAAATTGGCAAACTTTGACTAGATTGGGTGGACAGCATCCAGACTTCCTGCCTCAAAAAACTATTCTAGCCGAGTCTGCAGTAGTTACTGGGCGAAGAAGTATGAAGAGGGCAAATACACTGACTGTGCTGTGTTCCAGATACGTTGGAACAAAGGTGTCGGAGACGATGAGATGTTGTTGGGAAGGGGAATTAAACGTGCAGAAACCGGTTGCGAGGCTGAGAAAGAAGATATGCTAGACAAATCTTAACAGTGGGCACAGAGACAATAGGATTTCTACTGCACTGAAATATGTAGCTTGAATTGATGGGATCGAAATCATGATAATGATAAGGATAACAAGACACTGTTGCAAAAATCCTTACACAGCCAGAGTCACAAATTTTATCTAGAAAGAACTAGGAAAAATTGCTCACATTATGCAGCTATAAGAACAAGATTCGCAGTGATAAATTGTCATACTGAGAGAAAAAGAAATAAAGACTTTGGAGAACATTTTTAGCCGCTAAAATTTATTTTGCCTATCACAAGCTCAAAAACAAATCATGCCAAGTCATCATTTCGTTTGATATTACATGCAGCTCACCATATACCCTGCCTATCGTCATTAACTTTACTCTTTAGCTCACTTATGCTTGCGTTGTTGGCCTGTATTTCTTTGACCATGTTTGTTCAATGCAAAGTCATTTTTGCTAAATTGTTCTTAGATTGTCGCAACCTGTTGGCGCCTCTGGCTGTTGCGTATGGATTAACTTCGTGCGCGAACTTCTAAACTGTACCAAGAGTAATCTGTTTCACCAGTTCTTAAACTTATACAATGATCGGGGGTTTTGTATGTTTTCCACGGTTACAAAAACGGAGAATCATTGAGTGAAATGTTTGAAGTGAAGTTGGATTCACTATAGCGTAAAGAATTAACTTATCAGAAGAAATTAACGGACATGTTTAGCCAATGTATACCATGTATGCAGTTACAAAAGTATTGTTTTTGCCTGTTATTAACAAGGACCACTAAAAGAAAAAAACTAACGCTAAAAAGACGATAGAATCCACCAGGGCAGCTTACGAAGTGCCTGCCTCCTGTGGGTCAGTTGGACCCTGCAGCAGAACTTCGTTTCTGCCCCCTCCAGTGGGCCTTGCTGTTGCGACAGTACTGCGCGCTGTTGCCAACACAAGCAGCATACTCCATGACGTGGTAGATGTAGTTCTGCTCGTGCGTGGCATGGAAGAGGTGCGCCATCGGACCCAGGGCGTAGACACTGACATCCTCCCCAGCATGCGTCTCGATGCTGACAGGGATGCAGCCAGCTTGGCGGAACCCGGGTGATCCTGGGTACATAATATCATCATAATAAATTAAAAGCAGGCTGTGGTCTAAAAATTGTAATTCTAAACAACATTCACCGTCGTCCTCATCATCCCTACTACAATCACTATCATCAGTACCATAATTAACACCATCATTACCACAATCAACATCCCCATTATCACCTTCATCATCACCATCATCACGAGTCTGCAGACCGATGCAGTAGCCCCTGCACCTGGGTCATCATCATCATGTGCCCTGCCAACTTGCGTAGGGACTGATGCCTCTTCAGAGATCACGCTCCCTGGTTGCCTGGAACAGTTCTCTTAATAATATTCCTCAAAGGCGTCGCGACCCACAGGTTGAGAACCGCTATTCTAGGACAAAACAAAATGGTGTCAAGAATGTTTCACTCATTGTCTTTCCTTATCTCTCCTAACATAAAAGTTTCCGGTTGTCACAACTATTAACTGTTACTTTCGTTTTTGCTTTTATTGTCTTCTTCTCTTCTTCTTCTTCTTCTTCTCTTTCACCAGCTGTATACTCTGGCGGAAAGTTCAGGTTGCTCGTCCACTACTGAACTGCAGTCCTGCTCCAGAACCTGTTGCCTGTGCATCAGTTTTTACAGATCCCATTCTCTTTAATACAGACTGTTGGTTCCTTGCCTCTTCGGCAGATGCACTCCGACTTCAAAGAAGGCTCCCTAATTAGTCGACTCTTACGACATGCTTTTGGGAAGGCAGTGGGTCTATTCTTGTCTTCCCCATAATGGGGCCCCGGAACCCACACGGGGATCTTCTATGGTCTAAGATCAATGCATATCCCATCGCTATGTCGAAGATAAGTTGTCTTCTAGCTTTAGCAGTCTTTTTATTGTCTCGTTTCTTTGATAAACACATGTGCATTGCTACACCTAGTTGAATATCTCTCCTATTCGTGAGTCCCTGGAAGTTTTTTGTGTTTTAAAGCGATCCTCATCCGAATGGTGGCATTTTATGTCACCGAGTGTTTTATGGCTCGGTCCATAAGTGATGTCCTGGTAGTGTTGGATCTTGGTCAGTCAGCTACACAGGAAGACAAAATTATAAATACTTCCCCTTTTCCCGCCAATATCGCTATCACCTCTTCCTTTTTTACAATCAAAGGGAGGCCTGCGTGGTCTTAAGGTATGGTATCCGCCTCGAGTGCTAGAGGTTCCGGGATCAATCCCCGGTAAGGGCTGTAATTTTTTCACGTGGACCTGGACTTCTAGTAATTCCCCCTGGTCTCTGGGTAGTAAGATCAAAAGCCTGTGAGCATTGTTGCGCATGTAAAAAATCCCTTGGCAGTTAGAAATCGAAAAGAGTAACTTAACGGTTCTGCCAAGGCAAAAATTTAGAGTTAAAAATAGAGCCATATTTTAGGATTCTCGCCCGTGTTACAGAACCTGTGCACAGTGCTGAGCTTTTTCGGACTCAGACTTGAGTTAGAAAAAGATCGGAACACTTATGGGTTACTACCCGTGTGCCATAATGTTGATCTGTTGTTGAAACCTCAAACTGACAATTCTTATTAGTTTCATTGCTTCGTGCTTCACCCTCTTACCAACCCAGCCATATCTCAGCCAGCATAAATACAGTTAACATGATTACGTTCTAACATGTTTTAATTTCTTGTGTATTTTCCCTCTATAACTTTACAGGCTTTAACAGTTTCGCCACGAAGACAAGAAAAACTATCTATCTTCTTTTGCCCACTAGAACATCACAAGCGATAAACACCTGATGACACAAAGTGCCATCATGTGGATGAAGATTACATGTGAAGAGGTCCCAGAAACCGCGATCAGCCATTAGACCATAGATGTGGCAGGGCTATATTGCGGCCCCTGTCAAGAGCCAGAGTAGGGCTTCAAATAACGAAAAATTGCATCACATAAAGTGATGATAATAGATCCAAATTAGTCACAAGATTAACCGTTATGTCTGGTCTTATACAGCAATTGATTCACCGACAGTTTGTAACATTCCCTGGTGCTAAACGTTACTACTTGTTCCCAGTTAATGAAGGGTGGATGATGGCTCCAATCTGCGTCTAACATGTTTTGTAGTAATACGTTGCACGTACCAGAATAGCAGACACATATTTTGCAACACCGTTTACTACGATTTACGTCTACAAAGTTTCTGGTAAATATTCTATGATTTGCAAAACAAGCTTTCTGCGAAACTAAGGTTCGGGTAAGTAGGTCGAGGACTTGCTTAACCATACATCGCTAAATTAGTCGCATATTCTGGAACTGGAAATCAAGTTTACTAAATACGATTGTTTATGCTAACTCACCGTCATAATAACGCAAATAGTGATGCACCTTAATTATGTCTGTTGCAAAAAATAACACTTTAGTAAATAAGTTTGACGAATCCGAATTATAACTACGTGTTTCTTCTTCTTCTTCTTCTTCTTCTTCTTCTTCTTCTTCTTCTTCTTCTTCTTCTTCTTCTTCTTCTTCTTCTTCTTCTTCTTCTTCTTCTTCTTCTTCTTCTTCTTCTTCTTCTTCTTCTTCTTCTTCTTCTTCTTCTTCTTCTTCTTCTGCTTCTTCTTCTTCTTCTTCTTCTTCTTCTTCTTCTTCTTCTTCTTCTTCTTCTTCTTCTTCTTCTTCTCCTCCCTCTTCTGCTTCCTCTTCTGCTTCCTTTTCTGTTTCCTCTTCTGCCTTTTCTGCTTCCTCTTTTGCTTCCTCTTCTGCTTCCTCTTCTGCTTCCTTTTCTGCTTCCTCTTTTGCTTCCTCTTCTGCTTCCTCTTTTGCTTTTTTCTCATGCTTCTTCTTTTGCTAGCTCTTCTGCTTCCTCTTCTGCTTCCTCTTCTGCTTCTTCTTCTGTTTCTTCTTCTGCTTCTTTTTATGCTTTTGCTGCTGCTTCTTCTTTTTCTTCTTCTTCTTCTTCTTCTTCTTCTTCTTCTTCTTCTTCTTCTTCTTCTTCTTCTTCTTCTTCTTCTTCTTCTTCTGTCTTCTTCTTCTTCTTCTTCTTCTTCTTCTTCTCTTTCTTCTTCTTCTTTCTTCTTCTTCTTCTTCTTCTTCTTCTTCTTCTTCTTCTTCTTCTGTCTTCTTCTGCTTCTTCTTCTTCTTCTTCTTCTTCTCTTCTTCTTCTTCTTCTTTCTTCTTCTTTCTTCTTCTTCTTCTCTTCTTCTTCTTCTTCTTCTTCTTCTTCTTCTTCTCTTCTTCTTCTTCTTCTTCTTCTTCTTCTTTCTTCTTCTTCTTCTTCTCTTCTTCTTCTTCTTCTTCTTTCCTTCTTCTTCTTCTTTCTTCTTCTTCTTCTTCTTCTTCTTCTTCTTCTTCTTCTTCTTCTTCTTCTTCTTCTTCTTCTTCTTCTTCTTCTTCTTCTTCTTCTTCTTCTTCTTCTTCTTCTTCTTCTTCTTCTTCTTCTTCTTCTTCTTCTTCTTCTTCTTCTTCTTCTTCTTCTTCTTTTTCTTCTTCTTCTTCTTCTTTTTCTTCTTCTTCTTCTTCTTCTTCTTCTTCTTCTTCTTCTTCTTCTTCTTCTTCTTCTTCTTCTTCTTCTTCTTCTTCTTCTTCTTCTCCTTCTTTCTTCTTCTTTCTTCTTCTTCTTTTTTTTCTTCTTTCTTTCTTTCTTTCTTCTTCTTCTTCTTCTTCTTCTTCTTCTTCTTCTTCTTCTTCTTCTTCTTCTTCTTCTTCTTCTTCTTCTTCTTCTTCTTCTTCTCTTCTTCTTCTTCTTCTTCTTCTTCTTCTTCTTCTTCTTCTTCTTCTTCTTCTTCTTCTTCTTCTTCTTGTTCTTCTTCTTGTTCTTCTTCTTGTTCTTCTTCTTCTTCTTCTTCTTCTTCTTCTTCTTCTTCTTCTTCTTCTTCTTCTTCTTCTTCTTCTTCTTCTTCTTCTTCTTCTTCTTCTTCTTCTTCTTCTTCTTCTTCTTCTTCTTCTTCTTCTTCTCCTCCTTTTTATTCTCCTCTTCTTCTTTTTTTCTTTTTGTTGTTCTTATTCTTCTTCTTCTTCTTCCCCATCTCATCCTCCTTCTTTTTTTTTTTCATCTTCAACATTCTGAGCCATGTGAACTTACAGCTGCCATTATAATCCGCACCCATTCATCTCTCAGATCGGCATTCCCTACTCTAGTGTTTGAATGTTCGTATTATGTCTCCACCATCTTCTTGGCCTGCCTAGTTGATTGTCTTCGCCCATTTAACTTATATATGTACGCTATTCTTATCTACTGTTCGAAGACTGTGGAGAGAAGACAGTGGATAGTATCCAGGCAGACCTACAAACACTTCTGAAAAGAGAAGGTCAGTTACGATGATGTAGCTAGACGGGTTATATCTGCAATCAATTTTAAAGGCTCGAGATACTAAAGAATAAATTGATAACGCGGTGAAGATGTAATTGTGTTCGTTTCGCTGTCTGAATGTCTTGGAATAAGTTGTCCACGCCTCCGTTCGATTCCCGAGAGCAGTTACTTCAGGAGTTTCTTAGGGACTGTTGCTGAGTCCGGACATTAAGAGACGTTCTCAACGTATTGTCAGCTACCCTGCAGAGAGACTTAATCACATAGGATACAACCTTTGGAGTTAAATGAATTCTTTACCTGAATGAAAAATGTTTGACCCCAAGGGTACCACACAACCAGCGATAAACATCAAGTGGCACAAAGTGCTAGCATTCAGATGAGAATCCCCAAGCGGAGGTTCAAAAAAAAACCTTTTAGCCGTTAGGTAATTTAGGGCTGCGGACAACAGCCAAAGTGATACTTAACAAAAATAAAATATTGTGTTCCCATGTTGAAACGACAACAGATAATTCTGTAGCTTTTAAACTAACCTATTTTTTATTAGTGTATAGGTATATTTAACTATTGTGAGTGGAAGCCGGACAATTTAAAGACGTTGAAAGAGTAATAATTGTATTTGAAAATAAATTGCAAGGGAAATTGCTAAACATTAAATCGTACGAACTCAAAAATGCAAAAAATTAGAAAGTTTGTTTCATAGGCGTTTGCATAATTAACAATAATACAGCGAAGATAGCAATGAATCGCTAAAGAGATACTGAAATGGGAAAAAAAAAATTGGGGAAACGAAACATAAAAAAAAATATGATGAACATTGCTGTGATTGGCCAAAGATTCTGGACAGGATTCCATTTATGATGTCGACAGAATAGTTCGGGATAGAACGAACAAAAAAGCAAAAACAAAAAACGAACGAACGAAAGAATGTACAAACAAACAAACAATTTTCTAAGGGTTAAGAAATGGGCCCACGGGTTCGTCTAAGAGCGGAATGGAGGAATAGACTGTGAGCCCTACAGATATTATAACAGGATCACTGTATGTTGATGACAAATACAGATGAGCCGCTGAATTGACCACCATAGAGTTGGAAAAAATCTCACGACCCTCATCATATAGGCGAACAGCTTAACAGCTACACCACGGAAAGTCAACGGACACTCATATATTATTTAGATATTTAAAAGTCAACCGATGAAATGGTCTGCATTTATGTCATGACAACCACCAGATAAAGCACCTGGAAGAACCCTGACATTTAGGCACTATGCAGTCACAGAGGTCGACCGCGTAAGCAATGGATAGATGCAATACCCGAGGCAGTTACTACTAGCATTTACGTAGCACATGCCAATGCTCGCACCTTATGCCTCTTCAAAACCTGGCGCTTGAGGTAGAAGAGGCCTAGAGAAAAAGAAGAGGTAAAGGTAAACAGTGAAGGGTCAGTGTTTCAAGCCAGTAACGTATCGGGAACAAGTTCCCACACCTACATTTTATACAATCTCAGCATTCTATCAATTGTATGGTCAACATAAAACTATGACAGGCGTTTTTGCTTCCAACTCCATTTCTTGGCTCACATTAAAAAAAATTACATATATTTAAGGGGGCAAAAGGGGGAGGGGCGGGGGCAGAACGAATGGAAAAAAAAAAACAACGATTAAACTGTTGTAGTTCATACCTGTGTCCACATTGGTTAGGTCTTCCCGTCCGAATACTGGTCCGTTGGTGTATCCCAGGGTCGTATATGGTAGACCATCTAGGGGGACAATGTCCATCCCCGGATCCGCCATTCCTGAAGGAATAATCATGACATTGTATATCTTGCTTCAAAACGAATTTATTCAGGTAGTTTTATATTTCCTATATCATTATGATATTATAATTTACAATTACACATATGCTACTGTTTTCTCAAAACAGCGAATTTATTTGATCTTTGTCAGAGTAACAACATATGTACACCCCCCCCCCCCCCCCCGGATTATAGAATGCCATTTTAGAAACATCGACTGTGATGGTGGGTTCACTCTGTTAGCAGTTATGTAAAATGCCACGCACGAGTTGCATTTAGAAATGTATGCCTTACATTTGGTTTCCTCCCGATTAAACTGAGCAAAACGTGGAAAAAGTCACACAACTTAATTCTGTATGTCCTTTACAGTTCATAACTTTAAATAAAACAGCCATCTACTTTACAGATAACAATTTTCGAAATAACCTCCGTCTACTTTACATATCATAATTTTCTATGTAACCTCTAACTACTTCTAGGGACAGGCGAAAGTGTTCACGAGTAACAATGCAATTCAGAGTGGATCCTGCAAAGATGGATATGAGAGGAAGACAGTGTGCTACCTAAATAAGTAGTACCTACATTTATACATTTGCTGCGGGGCACGTAACACATATATGAGTATGCCCTGTGCGATATGATTTAGTACCTACATTTATACATTTGCTGCGGCACACGTAACACACATATAAGTGTGCCCTGTGCGATATGATTTAGTACCTTCATTTAGACATTTGCTGCGGCACACGTAACACACATATAAGTATGTCCTATGCGATATGATTTAGTACCTACATTAAGACATTTGCTGCGGGACACTTAACACACATATAAGTATGTCCTGTGCGATACGATTTCAATCTTTTAATGAGTAATCAATTAGTAATACCGAAGCGAAACATCGGTATGTACGTGTTGTCGGTAGTAGCTTTCTCCCTTTGTTCGCGTGGGCATGTTTTCACAACATGAATAACATTCTCAGATACGTCTCCTAACTTGCCCAAGCGTTAACTCTCTGGACCCAGCAATCAACTGTACTCTTATAGACCACACATCTTCAGTAACAAAACTTCATACAAACTATAAATTCTTCAACAGTTCATTATGGGTTTGGTTTAATCAACGGATCAACATCATGGCACAAAGATAGCCCCCTATAAGTGCTCCCTTCTACTTCTAACCCAAGCCTGAGTCCGAAGTTTCTCAGCGCAGTGCACGAACTCTGTAGCACCAGCGAGGATCCTGAACTATTTTGGATTAATTTTAAACTTCAGGCAGCGCCGTTAGGGCTACTCTTTTCAATTTCCAACTGCCAAGGGATTTGGTACGTGCCCAAAATATACACGGGCGTCCGGTTTTACTACCCAGAGACTATGTGTAATTACCATCAGTCAAAGGAGAAAGTGTTCCATTCTTCACCAGGGCATGAACCCGGGAACTCGAGGCGGACGCCATGCCTTAATAGTGTACTATTTGTAATACACGTTGTCCTTGCACTCTATTTTAACAGGATAGTGCAAATGAATGACTTACCATTTTGTACATAAAGCATCATCATGTCAAATTTAAGTCGTGCACGAGTCAACGTGTCTATCTTCATTATTAAAAAGTTAAAAAAAGTAAAGGACCCTTTTCCACGCCTTTAGGCGTTTAGGTTATATAGGGCTAGACCTATATTTTTATAGACCAATCGACACAAGATGGGTGATGTGGTCAGCATCACGCCGGCCGCCTTTACTTTCCCGGGACTGCACCCGATACCCACTCAAGGCTGGGTCGACCTGGGAGCCAAGGTCATTTAAAAAAAAAAAAAAAAAAAAGTCTGGCTCATCTTCATTATTAGCCAAACAAAATATGCAAGGCATTCTGGCATTCCAGGTATAGATCAAAATTATAACTTCATCGCGAACGGATCACCCCGTTATTGCACTTTTCCAGTACAACTGAAAACCATTCAAAATACCGCTCACTGTCAAAGGCAAGAACGGGCCAAATATGCCAACACAAATAGTGTGTCACCAGAATGGCTGTTTATTTCTGTTGGATGCAGCAGTTAAAACAAACAGCAGGTTCTAATACACTACTGCCTAACTCCCACTATCCAGTTTTATAGCAGTCAGAAACTCGCTATTTTTGAAAATAGAGATTACAAAACACATTTCTAGGAGCACAAATAATAATCATTTCCTGTGAAATCTTTATCTCACAGTGTCGCACCATACGCTCAGATGGTCCAGCGATCTGGTGAGAATGCATCCAGACAAAACTGCATATGCATTTTTTTTAAACAGGAAGTCTAGCAAGAAGACGAGGGGAAGACTATGACAGAGAAGACATTCATGCAACATCAATGCACGGTAATTTAAAAAAAAAAAATCAAACAAATCCATCCTCCAAGCCACAGGATATGGGTAAGACAAATGTAGAAAACATCTGATACAACCTAGTATCAGTGAGACAACAACACAACGAAGAAAAGTGAACACGTACCTAAGATATCATGCCCACGTGGTGCATACCCCTGAATAGCAAACGCGTGGCTGTGGTCAGCCGTGACTATAACCAGGGTCTCTTGGCTGTCGGTCATTCTGACCGCTGTACGGATAGCTTCATCAAGGTCCAGGGTCTCAGATATCGCTGTGATGGCCGAGTTGGCATGGTGGCCAAAATCAATTCGGGCACCTAGTTTCAGATCACGGCAGGAGAAAAATAATACTATCAAGTTGCACTTAATTTTGTAGAAGTAAGACGCATTAAATTAGGAGTAACTGCAATCGTACTAATATGGAGTACTTCCCCTTCTTCTTCTTTTTCTTCTTCTTGGCGTTCACCGGGCTTAAACTCCGTTTAATTTTATTTCAGAATATGAATTTTGTGTGCACAGATATATCCCTATTCTTTCTTATGCGTATGCAGACTGTTGGTTTCTTGCCAATCAGGCAGATGCAATCTGACTTCGAAGAAATTAAATACCTAATTAGTCGACATATACCGCATACTTGTTAGAGGGCAGGGTGTCCATCTCCTCACGGCGTAGCTGCCAGATTCTGGCCTGCGGATCGGAAGGTCGTGGGTTCGGGTCCTGACTGGTGGTCATTTTTCAAAAATGATTTTGGACCCCAGCTTGACCCAGCCTTGAGTGGGTACCAGGTACAAGTCCTGGCAAGTAAAGGCAATCGGAGTGATTCTGACCACATCGCCCTCCAACTGGTCTATAAACTATAGTTTTAGCCATATTTGCCAAACACTCTTCGTTTCTCAACACACATGCATGCTCTGGAGAAAATATCGAAAAGATGTTAACTTTCCCAGATCTCTGAAAGAATATTTGCTAATCTTTACTGCATTACTTGCTTTTCCTTCTCGAACAATGTTGCCACTTGACTCTTTTCATTACAACCGGTAATTTCATCGCCAAGATTGTCTTTCATAGTTACCTTCGACCATCAGAAAATATCCCCGGGGGTCCTTCCGCAGGATCTCGATGGCCTTCTGAGTCATCTCCACCAGGGTTGGTTCTGTTCTGTTGACTTCTTGGTTGGAATCTTGTGGGTCAAAGTCCATGTGGCTGGGGTTAAAGAGACCTGGTGATTAAAAACAGAATTGCCCTGGGAGTTACAATGTTCCATACACTTGATTAGGATCGAGAGAGGAAGGGTGAGAGACGGTGTGAGTATGTGTGTGACGAGGTGAGAGAGACAGACAGAGAGAAAGGGTGATACAATGTTCCATACACTTGATTAGGATTGGGAGTGAAAGGGGGAGAGACAGTGTGAGTAAATGTGTGACGGGGTGAGAGAGACAGACAGAGAGAAAGGGTGTAACAATGTTCCATATACGTGATGAGGAGCGGGAGAGGAAGGGTGAGAGACAGTGTGAATATGTGTGTGACGGGGTGAGAGTGACAAACAGAGAGAAAGGGCGCCTTTCGCTATATACATATGTTCTCTTTTTGAGTATTCATTCATACATTCCACTTTACAATATTTAGCACATATAAATAATAAAAGTAAAAAGAAACTGCTCCTTTCCACGTCTTCGGGCGTATTTGGCATATACGGCTAGACCTATTGTTTATAGACCAAGTGGCACTTGGTGGGTGATGTGGTCAGCATCACGCCAGTCGCTTTTTACTTCTCAGGATTCCACATATTTAAGGCCGGTCGACCTGGAATCCAATGTCATTAAAAAAAAAAGCCCAGTACCGTCAAGACCCGAACCCACAACCTTCGTCCAATCCGCATGCGAGCGTCTACCCTCTACACCACGGCGGTTCACCATAATAATAATAATTACGAACTTAAGATTTATGCCACCCTTTAGAAAAGTGGTCTCCAACCGGAAGTTATAGGCTGTAGGAGGTTGGGAGGGGGTGGGAGGTTTGGTGAAGTTTCAAAAGGTTCATCAAGCATTGAGTCCATTTGTACTTGTAAACCGTATTTTCAACTTTAAAAGTGATGCAAACAAAACCATGTTGTCAGCTTAACGCGGAGAGTGATCTCCGTTGTGCCTTGTCAAACATCAGACCAGAAGTAGAAGATCTCATCAAGACCAAACAATTCCAACCATCATGCTGATACGCGGAAACTTAAGTACCAGTTGGTGACTGTTTTTTTTGTTGTTTTTGTTATTTGACATTCTGAATTATGTGCGTGTTGTTCTCCAAGTTCTTGTACTAAGGATATTTTCTTTCTTGCCTAGTTTATTCACATTTTGTAATTTTTGTTGTCGTTGTTGTCGTTGTTGTGTTGGTAGGGGGGGGGGTGGGGTGGAAATTCATTGGGAGGTCCTACCATACACTATAGTGAGGCTGGGTGGGGGGGGGGGGGGATAGGCGCCATCTAAAAGGTTTAAGACCACCGCTCTAGAATATTATTAAAGGGGTGGTCCCCGCCCCCACACTTCTTAATGATTGCCATCGTACCCCTGTATCGACGCCCATGCACACAAGAGCGGAATGCAGCCGAAAGGGTGTAATAACTGAACGTAATATATATACTTAGGGAGACCAACATTAGTTCTACCGACATTAACACAAGCTACGCATCTAGCAAAAGACAGTACACGACATCTTACTACTATCTGCGACGCATTACACCATAAGCTCTATGTCAACAGAAGAGAAAGAAGAAGGTGATCGTTGGTTAGTAAAAAAAAAAAAAAAGTTGGAAATAAAATGAAAAGTATAATAAACAAACACGTACAAAGAGAAGGATTATCCATTGTTAGGTGGAGCCGGGGGTGGGTGGGTCAGTGGGGGAGGGGGTGGGCACTTAGCTCCTAATAATTTTTAAGACCCCTCTCCTCCGGGCTATATTTGTATTCTTTAGGGTGTGTGGGTGGGATAGGGGGTGGGGGTGTCGTGGAAAATGTTGTAAGGGCTACATATACGTTGATACCATGGGCAATATCTTGTAATATTAGGGTAATCGTGTTGATTAATGTTTTACATCCGGTTCCGGTTCTAGGTTGTGTTTTTATGTTGTATGGTTCAGCTGTTTACAGGATAATTTATTTACGGCGTTGGCACTTGTAAACTGATATCTGAAAAGTGGATAATTACTCCTAGAATTTTCGTCGCCGTCGTCATTATAATCACGTGCCCCTCGATGAGAGAAGGCAACCATGTTTCGCCACCAACTTTGATCACTAGAATCACGGGTAAGGCCAGTGTTCTTGTATTGCCTCATCCATATGGCTAAGCGATCCAGGTAAACAGCTCTCTGCACTTCTCTTGTTCTGTTGCTTGCAATGTAGCCGGTGGTCACCAAGTTCTCTAATGCATTTCCGCTCCTGGATAGTCTGCATCTCACTTTCTCTAATTAGTATACAGGTTTCATCTCTCAAAAAGAGGACTCATTTCCCCCCCGATCATCTTCATGTAGAAAGTCCTTGTCAGAATGTCGCTGTTATCAAGGCCTGCCTGGAAGAAACGAGGTCCCTCGCCATCCCTTCCGCCTCGTGCACTTGCCTCTCCATGGTTTCGCTTATATGGGGGGTCCACCTTCGTGCCTGTCGACCTTTGCCGCTCTTTTCTTTCATGGTGTTAAATAACCGTGGCGTTTGATAAGGCTAACATATTTAAACTCTCCAGACAAGATGCTGCTTATTGGTCAATCTTCCTTGATGGAGAGAAGGCAGAGTGTGGTAACTTAGTATCACTTTCGATAGGAGCCTGTCATTCATGAACCACGTGGGCGCAGTTGTAGAAAAATGGCAAAAATGCTGACTGCATTGACATTTATAGCAGCAGTTGACATGGAGCGAACAACTGCTGTTCACAATGTACCAGCAATTGATGATTTATATTATAAATCATGGTCTGTTCACCGCATCTAAAATTCACCTGCTGAAGCCTGAACGCATACAGATGGAAACCATGCTGGTGTTTCTAGGATGTGCAAGATACCGCAGCAGTCTGTGGGCGATAGATCCTTGTACTGCCACCTATTACAGGTATGTGCAAATTACTGCAAGCCAGGTCATACCTCAGGGAAGCGTCTGACAAAAACCGGCACCTTTCTCATAAAGTCCAGGATACAGCTCAGAGTCACAAGCTGGTTAGAGGAAAGTCTTGGATCGCATAAGCAGAAGACAATTAGAGATGTCTCTATGCTGAAAAACACTGGGAGAGGAGAGGATTGAATCGAAAAGCAGATCAGTGTAGGGTTCCATTCACACTTGACCGCTAGTATGGAATACAATGAATCAATTAAACAAAACGGAAAGATAACATCAGAGATAATCTACTCTTCTTCTTTTTCTTCTTCTTCTTCTACTTCTTCTTCTTCTTCTTCTTCTTCTTCTTCTTCTTCTTCTTCTTCTTCTTCTTCTTCTTCTTCTTCTTCTTCTTCTTCTTCTTCTTCTTCTTCTTCTTCTTCTTCTTCTTCTTCTTCTTCTTCTTCTTCTTCTTCTTCTTCTTCTTCTTCTTCTTCTTCTTCTTCTTCTTCTTCTTCTTCTTTTTCTTCTTCTTCTTCTTCTTCTTTTTAACGTCCATGTCGTGTGGCTCTGATTGTCATGTCTGTCCACTATCTTCAGTCTTGTGTACTTTTAATCAACGCTGACACAGATGGTCTTCTATGCCATGGTGTCAAACTGTCCAGCATCTGTTCTATCGGTCTCTGTCTGCCTTTCCACCCCTCCAACTTTCCTACCGGGTACTTTAGTTTTCTCCTCATCGCATGACCAAAGAACGTAGATTGCTTCTTTCTGATGCGGGTAATCAGTTCTCTTTGTGAGTCAATATCTTCAAAAACATCCTAATTACTCCTTTAATCTGTCTAGGGCCCTCTTATCATTCGTCTAAAAAATCGCATCTCTGCAGCTTTCAACAAATTTGTCGCTAAATGTTCATGATTCACCTTCATATATCAAGATAGGATTTATATAGCTTTTAAGAATTCTCTTTCTTGCCTCAATTAACAAATAAAAATTGCATAAAATATTCTTTATTTTGTAAAATGCTTCCTCTACTCTACTCTAAGATAAAACTAAGCTAATAAAGAAGAGGCGGGGGGGGGGTTTGGGGGGGGGGGGGGGGGCCTTAACTTTTAAACAAGTTTGTTTATGTTTAGGTCAAAATCAAGAGTATCGACTTCATAGCAATAGGTTTAATCCTTTAAGACTGGGTCTACCTCTGAAGATCGGATGTCAACCGGCTGAGAGTGTAGCATGTACTTCACAACTCCATCGTCGAACCGGAGGATCTCCATAAAGTTGCAAGTGTGAACCAAACAACGCATTCAGGGAAATGAACTCATCGTCACAAGGCACGACGAACCGCTTGATTTCGCCACTGAGCATTCCCCCGTGCTCCTTTTTCTTTAAACACACGCACACACACGCACACACACACATCCAAACACACACGCACACACGAGCGCATCCGCCTACGCACTCACGCGCGCGCACACACACACACTCACACCCCACTTCCTTCTTTCTCTCACATTTTCTGCGTTCACTGTTAAAAGTGCGGTTGGCATTTATTACGTGGTTTGCAGGTAGACTGGGATATAAACGACATTCATCCCAACACATCCGATTTACGTAAACTCCAATTTATTCTTCTTCTACGACACTCTTCCTAGCAGGCAGTTGTTTTTTTGTGTGCGTGTGTGTACGTATGTGTGTATGTGTGAGTGTGTGTGTGTATGTGTGAGTGAGTGTGTGAGCCCTGAGTATTATTCAGGAATCTGTAATTATTCCACAAACACAATAAACAATTTTTTTTTTTTTTAAACTACAAACAAGTGTTTATTTGCCCACGAACAAAATAACTTTCACCCGGAATCACAGATGAATATTATACGATGGTAAGCTTTGAGCCAATCGGCGCTTAGGGTATAATATATCACTAATCGACCGTAATTATGAAATTAATTATGGAGTGTGGGAATAAAAAGGAGACCAGCAAGAGGCACAGCTGCACAAGTTCCTGAAGAAATCACAAGTTCCTGAAGAAATCACAAGTTCTTGAAGAAAGCACAAGTTCCTGGAGAAAGCACGTTTTCCGTACTTTGAGTCTTCATCGTCCATTCAAAATGCAACCAGTTATAGCGGTCTTATTTCTTGCTCAAGTGAG